GAAACCTCTGGAAATATGACGTACTAACAGAGCGACGACGAAGAGGAGCCAATTGATAGATCAAACTCTTGCCGAAACCAGTTGGGAGAAGAGCAAAAACATCTTTTCCTCTGAGAAAAGCCTCCAGAGCAGTGTTTTGCTCTTCTTTCAGTGAAGAAATACTCTGTAATTCCCATAAAACTTGCTCGATAGCCACGCTAACGCTAGTTTCATCGGCTGAAGCCGCCATGTTCTTTAGACTGAACTGTCGCGCTTCTCGTTGCGTCACACCTCAACCCGCCTCAAAGCCAACGCTGATTGGACGTTCGTTTGGTGAACGGCTCCAAATTTTCTTTAACGGAGAGTCTCCAGACTGATCTGCGAGTGAAACCTTGGAAGCTCGCGAGATCAGGATGGTCTCACGAGGCTATCTGACTGGACCCCTCCTCAGCCGGAGGAGGGGGGCTGGGGGCCGGTAACAGACATCCCAGGTCTCCCTGGAGTCTCCTTGATATCGATAGTTGTTTATTGATGCCCGCGAGTCAGATACTCTATCCCGGATTTTTGACTATGCTTGGTGGGTCTATTTAATGTGAGTGAGAGCGTGTAGGCAGAGCAGTAATCTGTACATCATACGTGGATTAGAACTACTGCGATTACGTAGACAACAGGAGAGAGGGGGGGGAGTGGGGAGGAGGTTGCATGTGAAACCTGTGCAGCGTATCTGTCCAAAGCGATGATATGTTCAACGAGCGTTCCAGGGGGCTGGTTGTCAAAGAGCTGTTTGGATTGGTCAGAAAAATAAGCCAATAATTGTTGGTTTACTCTCTTACAGTCACGTAGCTACCACTCTAAGCTGGGCATCCTGTGAAATTGGTTGAATCCTCTGGTAAAAAACTAAAACATAGGACTAATTTTACAGCAGAATATACTAAAGTACGTCCACGTCTAGTGAAGGTGAAGAAAGCGGGGGTGGGGTGGGAACCAAAATCCCGGACAATTTTGAAATTACCCCCCGGACATTTTTTTAGGTCTGAAAAGTAGGAAGTCAGTGAAAAAGAGGACGTCTGGTCACCCTACCATAGAGACTGACACGGGAGTGGATTTTCACTCCTGTCCCGTCCCACTCCCACAGAAAAAAATTGTATCCCGTCCCGATCCCGGGCCAGAGTGGAAATCTAAATCCTGTCCCATCCCACTCCTGGTGAAATTACTCCCACTCCCATTCAGAATGACTCCCGTTCCCACACCGCTCCCATTCTTGTTGTTTTTGAGCGCGGGTGAAAAACTCAGAGCGGAAGCACTGTTGGTTTTTGGGTCGTGTAGTTTTTTTGACTCGCATTATAGTGTAGGCTTCAAGGAAAAAAACTACAAAATGGCGGCGCCAGAACTGGATTTTTTTTCTATTTTATTTTATTTTTTGGCTTCAATTCTAGTTTTTTTTAGTTACTATTGGTTTGCTCCCGCTCCCGTCTGCTCCCGTTAATGTTTAATCCTGTACCGTCCCAATCACGTGATCGTTACTAATACTGACTCCCATCCCACGGGAATCCCGTGACCCGTGGGAAAAAATGTCAGTCTCTACTCTACCATATCAACAATCTGCTGTTTCAGTGAGTGTGTGCTTGCTGCTATGATGCCTCCTTTCTCAGCAGCTTGGCTCGTTATAAACCAACCAATCAGAGCACAGCTCATCTAAATATTCATGATCAAACCATAAAAGGAAGAAAACCTGTGGTTTCATTCTAGGGCTTTTAACCAGGCTGCATTAGGGCTCATAGAACAGCTAATATGCCATTTTCAGCCCAACCAATGTTACACACCCTATTAGGCTACGTTCACACTGCAGGCCTTAATGCTCAATTCCGATTTTTTTGTGAAATCGGATTTTTTTTTGCGTGTCCGTTCACACTTCCAAGTATATGCGACTTGTATGTGATCTACTGTGTGAACTGAAAGCGTTCAACCGAAGTGTCCCGCATGCGCACTCGAGGACGCGATGACGTCACATGTAGCAAGCGTCCTCAGTGTTTGCGGAAGTAAACATGACTCGTAATACCGCAGCGTATATTGCGTTCTTTAAGTTCTTCTCCAACAGGAGCAGGCACATTACGAACGAAATCTTTTTAAGAAGATCAAAAAGAAAGAGAGCCAGGTTCCGGTAAGACCCTTCGAGTTTGATCTGAATCGAGCTATCTTTCCAAATATGAATTAAGTCAGCAACCTCACTTTCTCTCCATTGACTGCTCTCTGTGTTATCTTCCGCCATGGTTGTTAGTTTTTCCCGCCTCCGCTTAGTAGGACGCAGATTAGTAACGTTTAGTAACATTTGTCAAGTATCAATGACGTGTAGGTCGGATGAATGCGACCTGGCCGTACAGACACAGGTCGCATTTGAAAAGATCAGATACGTATCGGATTCAGGACCACATATCCAAGTGGCCTGGGTCGCATTTGAAAAAATCCGATCTGTGTCGTTCAGACTGTCATAAAAAGATCTGATACAGGTCACATATGGGCAAAAAAATCGGAATTGGGTCACTTCAGGCTGCAGTGTGAACGTAGCCTAAGAGACCTGAAGGACCAGATACCCTATAGAATCATTCTATCACCCTATTAGAGACCTGAAGGACCAGATACCCTATAGAATCCTTCTATCACCCTATTAGAGACCTGAGGGACCAGATACCCTATAGAATCATTCTATCACCCTATTAGAGACCTGAGGGACCAGATACCCTATAGAATCATTCTATCACCCTATTAGAGACCTGAAGGACCAGATACCCTATAGAATCATTCTATCACCCTATTAGAGACCTGAAGGACCAGATACCCAATAGAATCATTCTATCACCCTATTAGAGACCTGAAGGACCAGATACCCTATAGAGTCATTCTAACACCCTATTAGAGACCTGAAGGACCTGATACCCAATAGAATCATTCTATCACCCTATTAGAGACCTGAAGGACCAGATACCCTATAGAATCATTCTATCACCCTATTAGAGACCTGAAGGACCAGATACCCTATAGAATCATTCTATCACCCTATTAGAGACCTGAAGGACCAGATACCCTATAGAATCATTCTATCGCCCTATTAGAGACCTGAAGGACCAGATACCCTATAGAATCATTCTATCATCCTATTAGAGACCTGAAGGACCAGATACCCGATAGAATCATTCTATCACCCTATTAGAGACCTGAAGGACCAGATACCCCATAGAATCATTCTATCACCCTATTAGAGACCTGAAGGACCAGATACCCCATAGGATCATTCTATCACCCTATTAGAGACCTGAAGGACCAGATACCCTATAGAATCATTCTATCACCCTATTAGAGACCTGAAGGACCAGATACCCCATAGAATCATTCTATCACCCTATTAGAGACCTGAAGGACCAGATACCCTATAGGATCATTCTATCACCCTATTAGAGACCTGAAGGACCAGATACCCTATAGAATCATTCTATCACCCTATTAGAGACCTGAAGGACCAGATACCCTATAGAATCATTCTATCACCCTATTAGAGACCTGAAGGACCAGATACCCTATAGAATCATTCTATCACCCTATTAGAGACCTGAAGGACCAGATACCCTATAGAATCATTCTATCACCCTATTAGAGACCTGAAGGACCAGATACCCTATAGAATCATTCTATCACCCTATTAGAGACCTGAAGGACCAGATACCCTATAGAATCATTCTATCACCCTATTAGAGACCTGAAGGACCAGATACCCTATAGAATCATTCTATCACCCTATTAGAGACCTGAAGGACCAGATACCCTATAGAATCATTCTATCACCCTATTAGAGACCTCAAGGACCAGATACCCTATAGAATCATTCTATCACCCTATTAGAGACCTGAAGGACCAGATACCCTATAGAATCATTCTATCACCCTATTAGAGACCTGAAGGACCAGATACCCTATAGAATCATTCTATCACCCTATTAGAGACCTGAAGATCCAGATACCCTATAGAATCATTCTATCACCCTATTAGAGACCTGAAGGACCAGATACCCTATAGAATCATTCTATTACCCTATTAGAGACCTGAAGATCCAGATACCCTATAGAATCATTCTATCACCCTATTAGAGACCTGAAGGACCAGATACCCTATAGAATCATTCTATCACCCTATTAGAGACCTGAAGGACCAGATACCCTATAGAATCATTCTATCACCCTATTAGAGACCTCAAGGACCAGATACCCTATAGAATCATTCTATCAGCCCTTTAAACAGGTTCATGGGCATTTTAACGAGTCGCTCTTAGTGAGCAGGTGACGTGCTTCCACAGGAGTCAGTAACAAAGAACAAATATTTTAAGTTCTACTTCCTTAAGTAGAAATATTAGCTTTCTATACTTTACTGGAGTCATTATTGTTTAGACAACTTTTTACTTTCTACTCCTTACATTTTAAAAATAATCTTATTAGTTTTGTTTCATTTAAGCTCATTTTCATTCTGGCCAGTTGGTTTAAAAAAAAAAAAGAAATTAGTTTCATCCAGACAATTAATTTCTCTGTGGTTGGACTCGGTGCTGCCCCAACTTGTTGCTCACCACATACCAAAATAAATCGTTTTTCCAGATGATGCAAAGTTAAATGTGACGCTGTTACCATTAGTTATAAAACTAAGAAAATAAAGTCTAAGGAAGTTATCATCCAGAATTGTAGAAAAATGTTCCTTTAATAGAGTAGAGCAGTAAAGCTTCTGGAATTAACAGTTTTCCTGCTTTACTTTACTTTTAAACTTTGAGTCGTTTTAAAAATGGTGCTTTTATACTTTTACTGGAGTAAAAAGCTGAAGTTGATCCTATAAAAGTAGGATTTATACTTCTACAGGAGTAATACACATTAAAACTTGTGACACCTCTGCTTGCTTCATGAATGTGATGAAACCAAAAACAAAAACAGAAATAAAAGTCTAAGAATTCAAGTCATCCAGATGAACTAAAGCTGAGCTTAACCTACCTGCGGTGATGTCGTCATCAGTGACGTCCATCTCCTCCTCGGTAGCCTTGGTTTCCACGGGCTGAGCCTCTGGAGGGGGCGGGGCCTGAGGGGCGGCCTCAGTGGCTGCTCCAGCTGTGGAGATGAAGTGAAAACAGAAAATCAGGAGGTATTGCTGCTCCTGCTCGTGAGGAAAACCTCTTTCAGGGTTGGGCCTCATTAAGAGGCTAACGCAGCTAATAAAGGCCTCCTCGTTATCCAGAAAACGAATGGCAGAATTATTTTGGTATTGCCAATTAAGAGCGGATTTTAATTAGCAGCTGGGACTAATGAATGATAACGCTCTAATGAACGCAGAGGCTAAAGGTAACCAGAGTCCACGCTGGTCTAATCTGTTGGAAAACAGCCTGACTAAAGAATTAGAAACACAGGGTCTGGTTCCTGTGCACCGAGGCTCAGCTGGACACACTGAGCTGAGTTTTCTGCAGAAATGAAACCAGGTACCCCAGAACCTGAAGCATCGCGTACAATTTCACACAACTGGTTTCATTACGCCAATAAAAAGCCTTTAATTACAGTGATTGTAATTCCATTGATAAATCCTGGTTAACTTCATGTTCCAATTAAGCTGCTGCAGCACACAGCGGACGGCTTTGCTTCACACACACAGGCTCTGACAGAAGGCCGATACGGCGGCTGATTGTTGATTGTTTGTCTGGAACATTAAAGTGATAAAAACTTAATTAGACTTAATTAAAACATAACTGATGTTTAGCCGTGCTGAGAGTGGGCATCTCTAGTGGGGAGTTTCACCATCCACAAAGGTCCGCTTAATTAAACGGAAAGAACAGGAACAAGCCCAGACGTTAGGAGGAGGTTTATCTTAAAGGCAGACAGACCAGCAGCAAACAACATGTCAAAATAACAATGTTTATTCTTTTATTTGAATATCTACAGGAAGCTCACAGCTTTTTTATAAAACATAACTATTGCCTGGAAATTGGGGCTAATAGCATCTCTTGTAATTCTGTTGGAACATTTTTTTAATTTAAAAGCTAAAACGATGTTGACTTATAACTGAAAACTAATAATTATCTAAATGTACATTTTTGCTCTAATAAATTCTTACTTATGTTCTTTAAATAAATATTTTTTAGCTAATGATGGATTTTGAGGTGTAGGACTGAAGAAACAACTTTACACGAGTGAATAAAGTGAATGTGATTGGTCGATTATCAAGGGGGCGGGATTGTTGTGGGGGAAGGTTCGCAAGCTTTCTGGTTGTGGCCGGTTTGTCGGAAGCATCTTGCTAACCAGTTAGCAACTTAGTGCTACTTGGTCCCAATGGGAAATTCTATTGGGACCCTACTAGCACTGAGTTGGTGACCTAAGGGCAGATTATACTTCTGCCCATCAAATGTTGCTCGTTTCTGGTCGTGAACCGGTTTCGCTGGTTTGCTTCTGCATCGTCGGTCTGGAATTTCTAGAGACGCACTGCAGTTTCCCGCCAAAGCACAAGGGGGAGCCTATTCAAGAATTCATGAGAACTTCAGCGGCGCCGACAGGAGTGTTTATCTTCCAAAACATCAATGGCACATCTGCAAGAGATCAAAGTCACGGAGATGAATCTAGAGTTACTAGACATCTAAGAGGAACAGGTTCTGTTAATGGGGTTGGCTAAAGGAGCGATGAAGCTTTAGTCGTAGTTATCCATTGTAGTTGATCCTCGGTTTTTTGACACCGAATCAAGAAGGACAACCACACAGACAGCTGGAAAGGCATAGCAAGGACCAGCTGCTTTTAGTCTGCGCACTTCCGCTTGAGGTCTGCCCGGGTTTGCCACCGTCTGATGCGTTGTCAGGATTTTTTTGAGGTGCAGGACGACGGTTGCACAACCTCTGCGCGGGGGGCGTGGTCACGCACAGAGACTGATTTGATGTTTGCAGAGGCTATGCGTCAGAAGCATAAATTGGCCTTTCGAAACAACGCTGTCAAGGAACGCTATGGACAGCGGAAACATGCAAGAGGAGGAGAGTTTAGTGTCGGAGGTCGTGGATGAGTCTCCTCCGTCATCCATTTTTTATTTAGAGGAGGAAAGCGGGGACGAAGATGTTGTGGAAGAGGACGCCAGGGCGGCAGAAGCTTGGTTTGGTGTAGAAGGCTTCCAGCCGTACATGTTTGAGCCCTTGCCTCGCAACGCTGCCAGTTCTGTTAGCTCTACGCCTGCCGAAGACACAGACGTCCATCCCCGTGAACACTGGGACGCAACTCAATGGGAAAGGAAAGGATTCTGGTTTCAACCGTTGCGTATATTAGCTGCGACACATGAATCAAGATGCTATGACCGAAAACATTTGATTGACAGATGACCGTTGATATATGATTGGCTGAATTTAGGTGTTCAGGATGACGTAGAACTAACTGGCCTGCAGAAGATAACGGAAAAAACACAGATTTTAAGACTGGATTTATTTTTTTTTTATAGAAATTTTCTACCTTTCGGGACAATATGGTCTAATAAAGAGAACATTTATAAACACGTTTAAGCCAGAATGATTTGACATTTAAATATGATTTCCCTACGACTTTAATGACTTTAGACCTGTCATCCTGACCTCTGTGGTTATGAGCTCCTTTAAGAGCTTTGCGTTTTCACACTTGAAATAGATCACTGACCCCCTCCTGGACCTCAGCAGGTGATGCTGTCACCTTGGCCCTTCTCTACATTCTCCAGCACCTGGATTCCAGCTACGGCAGGATCCTGTTTGTGGATTTTAGCTCTGCCTTCGATCCAATCATCCAAGCTCTGCTGCAGGAGAAGCTCTCCGAGCTGCGTGTTCCTGACTTCCTGTCTGACGGGTTCCCCCCTAGCAACAGGTCTTTTGGTAAACGTCCATTTTTAAGTTATAGCGCCCCCTAGAGTGAACTCCACCAGCCACTACTGCCTGTGAATAGCAAGTACTACCAGGTATGTTGGTCTGGGCTTTGACTAGGCCATTCTAGCTAATTAATCTGCTCTGCTCAGGACGGTTTTGCTGCTGTAAGCTGTGCCTCAGCCTCAGGTCTTCCATCTTGCATCATGTCTGACCAGATTGCCACCAATCCCAGCATCTCACAAATCAACCCAAAAGTTGAAGTTTTGCTTCATCTGATCGGAGCATCCTTTTCCCTGTTAGCAGCTGACTGGATCCGTTTCCAGCAGCATTTCAGGAGAACAAACAGATGGAGGGTGGAGTCGCTGCAGCATCAGTTCGTCAGAGTTAAAAAGGGGCAGAGGATGGAGGGGGAGGGAACCAGGATAAGTGGGAGGGTGGGGGTGTGTTGGCGTGCTCCAAGGTCAAGGCTGTCATGTCAGGCGTGACACATTGCTCCCAGCATGCCTTGTTAACCTCCTGGACCTCCTCCTCCTGTCTGCTCTCTGCTCCTGTTTAAAACATTCACTCCTAGATGTTTTTAAAGCTTCTGTTTCAAACTAGTTTTCATTTCAGTCCTTCTGAAAAAAAAAAATCTGAAAAATTGCCAGAAAGTCCGTCTGCAGAGGATTTCGTTTAGGGCTTTAGCATTTGTTGCGACATTATGAGCTGAAGCAGGCTTTAAGCCAGGATTATTTAATAGGATGTGCATCTTGGTGTTTCAGATCTTTAGGCCAGGCCAGGTGTCGGGGGGGTCCGGGGGATCCTCCACTGGAAAATGTTGAAATTTAAACTCTCTGAAACAACATTTCCTGAATTTTGAGGTGGAATGCAGCTATTTTTCTTTTTCCAACACTGCTTTAGTCCTAATTATGGAAGTATGTGTTCTTGTGGAGGTGGAAATTTCATAAGGAAGACATGAGATCATTTTTAGCTATAATATGGACCACTGTGACAACCAAACGGTTGTCACCGTCAGCCCTGGCCGCCGCAGACGGGCTAACGTCAGCCCTGGCCGCCGCAGACGGGCTAATGTTAGCCCTGGCCGCCGCAGACGGGCTAACGTCAGCCCTGGCCGCCGCAGACGGGCTAACGTCAGCCCTGGCCGCCGCAGACGGGCTAACGTCAGCCCTGGCCGCCGCAGACGGGCTAATGTTAGCCCTGGCCGCCGCAGACGGGCTAACGTCAGCCCTGGCGGCCGCAGACGGGCTAACGTCAGCCCTGGCTGCCGCAGACGGGCTAACGTCAGCCCTGGCTGCCGCAGACGGGCTAATGTCAGCCCTGGCCGCCGCAGACGGGCTAACGTCAGCCCTGGCCGCCGCAGACGGGCTAATGTCAGCCCTGGCCGCCGCAGACGGGCTAATGTCAGCCCTGGCCGCCGCAGACGGGCTAACGTCAGCCATGGCCGCCGCAGACGGGCAGTTATCCCGACCGCTGCAGATCCTCTCAACATCAGAACCTTTTTTTTAATTCCGCACTAAATCAGTAATCTGTTCCATATAGTGAAGCTTAAAGTATAATATTTTCGCCTCAAATGATCTTAAAATGTACTTTTATTGAACAAAAGCAACAGAAAAGTGAATTTTTAACTCAATACTCTGAGCTCTGTGAGCGCTAACCTGGAAGCTGCTGCTGCCGCAGTGCATGCTGGGACAGCTGTCAGTCTGGAGGACTGACAAGTCTGCTCTGATGCATGCTGGGTAAAGAGGGAGGGGCCAGAACAACATCCGGGGACTTATCCGTTCTCGGTCTGCTGTTCTAGTGAACTGGAACAGTGCTAGGACTGAGGATGATGACGTTTCACGAGGACACGAGGACGCACAAGTACACATAGTGAGAAACGGCTTTTGTTTATGATCTGGAACATTTTAGTTTGAGGAGAAAATCCAGGAGAATCAGTCAGGAAATTATTTTTCACTTAGGTAACATTTTTCTGTCAGTAACAGATGGTTTCACAGCTTTGAGTGAATCAAAGGACGGTTAAACGCGATGGGATGAGGAACGCTCCATTTTAACCCAGACTGCAGACCGAGCCTTAAACATTCCCTCTGTGGACCTCCTGGGCTTCTCTCACGCCGCTCTGTCTCCTGGATGCTCTTCAGAAGCAGCATCGTCTGTCTGCAGGAAAACACCTGTATGCATTAAGCTTCAGAGACCAGGAAATGTCACTGCGGCGAGGCGGAGGCAGAGGTCCGTCGTCACGGCAATCAACAAGCAGAGCCA